AAAAATATAACTACCTTCTCCCACTGCTACAAACACACACACTCAAACACACACACACACACACACACACACACACACACACACACACCAAACATACACACATACACACATACATCCCTCATCATATGACATCACCATTTTAAAATTTTACAAAATTTGCCAAGGTTTTTGCACTGACCGGAAACTTCTCTTATACATCAAAGTACCTCCAATAGGTGTTATTTAAAATCACTTTTCTGAGATGGCCCATCTGGCTGTGGTGGAAACCTGCAAGCCACTCAGAACCGCCCTGCCCTTCCGCCCAGCTCGAAGAGCCTCCCATCTGGGAAGCAAGCCCACGGCCAATTTCCAAGGCACCCAAGTTGAGCCCTGGAGAAAAAACCCCGTTTTCTCCAAACGATGACTATCTGACTGCAGATTCAAACATTGCTCGAAAGATGCCTTTAGAAATTGTTTAAGGCAAAATAAAGTTTTTGAAAAGTTTTAGATGTAAATGGAGTATTTAACTTATTTCTTTGCAGATATTAAACACTATTGTTCATAAAACAATTAGGGAGCAGGACAAGGCAGTGTTGATTCATGAAATAAGTGGTGTGGTATCAACTGTCAGTACAATGAGATTGGAGGGAGAGGAGAAATAGAATTTGTCTGTCTTAATATTGGTTGCTGTAGTAGTAACAGGCTTTATAAATACTGTCTGCAATGAAACAAACAAAATAGGAGATTTATTTTAAAAACATTGAAACAATGGATGTGAACAAAGATTTAGCACAAGCTAATTCTACATTTTTACATAACCCAAAGAGATGCCATCTGATTTTAATAATTAGGGATTGTTCAATCTGTGTTTCTCAATATTTAGCAATGTGTGGAGACATTTTTTATTTACTGTGGTCGGGGGGGGGGAACTAGTGGCAGTGGGGTCAAGGCCAGGGATGCTACTCAACATCCTACAATGCACAGGACAGACCCCTCCACCTAACAGAGAATGGTCTGGTCTGGAATATCAGTAATGCCATGGGTGAGAAACCCTGGGTTAAATAAATTAAAGTATAACTATCCCATGGAATACTATATATTCTTTAAAAATAATATTATAGATTAGTGATTTTCAACTCTGGCTGTATGTTAGGATATGTGATGAGTCACCTGAAGAGGTTTTAATTCGGATCAGACTTCCGACCAATCAGGATAGGACTCTCTGGGGTGGGTGGTGGGCGGGGCTGTTTTATATTCTGTCCAGGTAATTGTAATGCATAGTAGCCAGAGTTGAGAGTCACTCATTCAGACTCACGTGATATAGACATATTAAGTGACAAGGAAATATGTACATGCTAAGTCTAATAAAGCATGTAACAAAGCAGTAGGTACAGTATAATTAAAATTTTTATTAAAATATATGAACTATGAAATATATATATTATAAAAATACATATACACTATCAAATGGTACCAGTGTATAATAGCATTTATCTGTACTTTCTGACTTTATCACCACAAATATGTATTTCTTTATAATTTCTTTGGGAACAGTTTGGTAGTTTCTTATAAAACTAAACATGTTAGGACCACATGCCCAGCAATTGTACTCTTAGGTGTTTATCTCAGAGAAATGAAAACTCTGTTCACTGAAGATCCTATACGTGAATGTTCACAGCAGCTTTATTTATAACAGCCAAAGATGAAACAACCCAGATGTCTTTCACTGGGTGAGAGGTCACACAACTTGTACATGGAATAGTGCTCAGCCATGAAAACAAATGAGCTACTGATCTCTGAGACAACCTGGATCAATTTCCAAAGAATGATGCTGAGTGAAAAAAGTCAACCCCCCACAAAGGTTATATACTGTGTAATTCCATTTACATATAATATTTGAAGTGAGACGTTTAGAGAAATGGAGAATAAATTAGTGGTTTCCAGGGGTTAAGTGGGCGGAAGGGAGGAAGTAGGTATGGCTATAAAAAGGCAACATCCCTTGTGGGGATGGAAATGCTCATAAGTTGACTGCATCAATGTTAATATTCTGATATTGTACTATAGTTTTGCAAGATGTTACTAGTGCAAAGAGTAAGTGTGTAAATGGGATCTCCCACTGTTATTTCTTAAAACAGCATGTGAACCAACTATTATCTTGAAAGTCTAATTTTAATAAAGATACCAGGAATCAATTTTAACTAGAAAAAAAACACCTATTGTGTTCTGTCTTATGGAAATTTATCTTTTAAGTAGTAATGAAATGTATGTGTATAGCAAAAAAAAAAAAATTGTTGCTTTAAGAAATAAAAACATCTATTACACCTCCACATTGGTGCTACAAGAATTTAATTTTCAGATAACACAGCTTCCCTTATGATAGCCTGGTGGGGGTTGCTAATGATTTCCTCTTCAGCAAAATTACTTATCCTAGGTAAATAGCAACATACAAGTGATGGGAGAAGACGGGTTGCAGAGGATCAGACTTTACCTGGCACATTGGCTTTTTTGGTTCCTGATGGCTGTACGTGTGGTGAGCCCCAGGTCTACCCAAAATTCAGTGGACGCATGAGGAGCAATACATTTGAATAGAAATGAGCACTTTCCAGCTACATCTCTCAGGTATTTGTTCTCAAATTCAGAGAGCCTGGGCCTCACAGGGAGCCAGTTAACAGTGCAGACTCGCTGAGACATGTCCCCTTATGAAGCCAGATTTTCAATATCTCTTACTGATTCTGTGGCTCGGAGGCGTGGCCCCCAAGTCTGCATTTTTAGCAAATGCCCCTGGTGCACCAGGAACACTGCTGTCGGGGTCGCCGAGCGCTGGGCTGGCTCTGGACTGCCCAAGAAGTGACCACAGTCCTCAAGTAGAGCGATAGATTTCAGTCATCTTTCCCAAAGGACATTAAAGGGTTTTCTTCTAGTGCCGGAGTGTATAAAGGCAATTAAAGGAAACCTTGCTGAGAACTGAATTCATGCTTAAGGAATGGACAGGATGTGGATGCTGAGCTGCAGAAAGGAGAAGAACCTGGCGGCCACTGCGCTGCGCTGAGACCACAGCCAGGTGGTCCCAGGTCTCAGGAAAGTAACTGGGTGCGTATGGAGCAGAGCATGTGACTTTACCTTTTAGCACTTAGGAGGACCAGCGTACGTTCAGGAAACACAGATTGCACTCTCCAGGAACAAATAATGTATAAGCAATGTATAAACATTGTCCAGTCTTAGTTCCTTTAAGCTGTCATTTCTGCCACCACACTGGGCACAGGGTCCATTTTATTCCTGTCTACGCCATAGCAACTTTCTCCACCTCTTGTTTGTGACCTCTTTTCCACCCTTGCCTGCCCTTCTCAGTCTGTTTCTTGGCTAAGACGTTGGCTTCTCCCAGTAATATTACTGATTATTCACTTCAGCTGCTTGGTCTCTGGTCCCCTCAAGTACATACTCTTCCCGGATCAGCATTTCTCCCGGAACCTCCAAGACCAGTTTGACCTGGATGAAGATGCCCTGCCCACCAAGAAGCCCCATCAGCTGGCCACACCCATGCGCTGGTGATGTTAACTGTAAAACAACTGGTGAAGCACTTGACTAGAAGTGGCCAGAACAGCTTTTCTCGTCTGCCTCTTCTTTTGCCTGTACGAATTTGGTCTTATCTGTTTGGATATTCCATACTTGTCCTTTGTCACACTGGTCACAGTCCCCATGGACCCTTATCTTGCAGGCCTAGTTAAAGAATGACAAGCAGGTCTCTTCTCACATACCAATTTGATCAATTGTTAACAGTTACAGGTTGTGTAGCATTTAAAGTATAACATGTGACTGCCATGTGCCACCCAAGTAGTCATGCCTGCCTTGGGTTAGGGTGGGGGTAATCTCCAAAAAGACTACCATCTTTGGGCTGAATAGTTTCTTCTTTTCTTCAGGGCTGATATATTAACTGCAAATACTTGATAATATCTCTTTGCATTCCTTTACTCACACCCCAATCTTTCAGTAAAGAAACTATAGTTGACCCCTGAACAAGATAGGGATTAGGCCCTAGCTGGTTTGGCTCAGTGGACAGAGCATGAGCCTGCAGACTAAAGGGTCCTGGGTTCGATTCCAGTCAGGGGCACATGCCTGGGTTGCAGGCTCGATACCCAGTAGGGGGCGTGCAGGAGGCAGCCAATCAATGATTCTCTCTCATCATTGATGTTTCTATCTCTCTCTCCCTCTCCCTTCCTCTCTGAAATCAATAAAAATATTAAAAAAAGAGACAGGGATTAGGGGTGCCAACCTCCTGCACAGTTGAAATTCATTTATAACTTTGACTCCCCTAAAACTTAACAACTGATAGCCTACTAACTATACTGATATCATAAACAGTTGATTAACACATATTTTGTATGTTTTATGTATTATATACTGTATTCTTACGATAAAGTAAGCTAGAGGAAAGAAAATCATAAGGAAGAGAAGAAACATTATGTATTGGATGTATTTATTAAAAAAAATAAAAAACATGTGTCAGTGGGCCCACACAGTTCAAACCTGTGTTGTTCAAGAGGTCACCTGCATTACAAGTGCGTTAACACTTTCCATGCATATTTATTTGCAGGTATAAAAATGTCTGGGGAACAGAAACTGCAGGAACTGTGTTTTTTGTCCAGCGCCTTTGGCACAATTGATTTTGTGGTTATAGTTTGGAGATTGCACAAATCTTCCTAGTGTTAGGCCGAACAAAGAGTCCCTTCTGCGTGAAATGGTGTCAGAAAAAATTGTCCTCTAGTGGTGAAAGCCCTTCCTCTATGGCAGTTTCTTATCTTTCATTATCAATTGCCTGTAGTTACTGGTCTCTAAGACAAAATGTTGCCTCTGTCTCATAGTTGAAATGTAAACACCCAGATCACAGGGGTTAGCACACAGTTTCATTCCTACCTTCCTATGTAAATCAGGGCATTCCACAGCAGGGGAGTCCTACCTGTCTGCCCTGGAAGGTTAATCCCCTACCAGGTAAGTCTTCTCAGAGCAGCACTGATTCAACTTACCTTGTAGTTGAAGAGAAACAATCCACAGAACAGGCTGTACAAATCTGCCGTGAGCAGGGAGAGGTTGACCGAAGTGGCGCTGGTTTTCTTTATGACGATGGGCATGAAGCTGTAGAGGCCAAACATGCAGGCGCTGAAGCCAACGTAGAGCAGGCCTTGGGGAGAGAAAGACAGGCAACATCTTAGCCTCCTCCAGGGCCTCTTGGCGTCCACAGTGGGTGAAAGGGGGGAACCGCGCACACCACTGATCATTCCCGAAGGGAGTTTTTCTTTCACGCCATTTACCGGTGTTTCGCATTGAGTACTACACAGCTAAAACATGCAAAGTAAGAAAACAGACTTTCTGCTTCCCACTATGCAGATGATATTTTGCACCTTCTAGGAAGGAGTGGCTCTTAGTGCTGCAGTCAGAATACGGGGTCGAGGCTTCTGAATTCTATTCTCAGTTGTGTGGTACTTAACTTCTATCTGTCTCTGTTAAAACTTCTTTCATCTTCTAGTTTTTTTATTTGCAAAATAGGAACAAAACTGCTTGGTACCATGTTTTGTTCACAATGACAAATAATTACATCGTCCTTAAAGTTGCAGGGCTTACCTGTCAAAGAGATCGGGACTTAAGTCAGAGAACTGAAATGGAATCCTAACTGCATGACCCTGGGGAGACAAGGTCATTGCCCTGAGCACAGATGACCTTCCAGATTTGTGAATCCTGCCCAGCTCTATCGCCAGCACACAGGGACCTATTCCTTCATCACCTTTCCCAGCATGCCGTGGGCCCTCACATGTAAGTTCTGCTGTGTTATACAAAAATAGGGAAATGCTTTGCAAACCATCAAAGAACTAAGTTGTGCAAAAGAGAAAGAAAAAAAAAAATGCCCTTAAAATGCTATATGTTCATCCAGTCTCTCATCCTCTAAATCAGTCTTTCTCTCTCTCTCTCTAACTAGATACACAATTGTTAATACTAATTCCATAAGTGCACAATTTTGTTGGGTCTCAAGCAGAATTTTATAACTAAATCCAAGTTTGGTTTAATTTTTTGTAGATGTTTATACCACATAAATGTAGAAAAATAATTCTCATTACTCTACCTTGAAAGAATAAGGCATAGAATAAGCATAAGTAATACAAGCCAGTGGACTTTGTAATACAATAGAAGTAACCAACCTTTCCCAAGGAACCCTTGATATATAATGTACGTGGTGTGGGCCTTGGGCAGATGGCTTCCTTGAATCCTGTGCACTTTGGCGGATTTGACTATGAAGACCAGTGACTCCCCCAAAGAGATGTTTGTTTTTCCATATGAAAAATACAGGGTATCACCCCAAAATGTGTATACACTTTAATAGCTGATAGCTCAATTTTGAAAATGAATTGTATTTTAATAAACATTGCCTTTATAATTATTCAAAGTGTGTGTATACATTTTTGGGGACACCCTATACTTAAGGACACAAATAATCATTCTATACACTTCTGGGCCTAAATTTAAGGAAAGCCACATCAAACCTATATACAAAGTTATTCTGAACAGTAAGCAAACTCAGTGCAACAGCCCCCTCTAGTGTGGCGGGAGTGCCCCTAGAGGACACTGGAATACCCTTCCCTATTCCGCCGAGGACAAGTCCTCTGGGGCTATTCTGTCATTGTAATAGCAGATGGTGGCTTTCGACTCTCCAGCAGAAGTCTTCATTCCCTAAAAGTGGTCAATTCTCCTGTGCTTGGGTTCCGTGCTGCCTATTATTCATTTGCCTTTTAAGCAAGTTGCTAAAAATGCAACACTAAAGAACCTCTGATCAATACATGAAGAGACAAAAAAATTAATTCAGTATCCCTTTAAGGAATCTGAGGCTAGGGGCAAGATCTAGCTGTAAAATAATTCACTGAAAATAATCAAACTTGATCTGAACAGAGTCTAGGCACGGCCCCCCCGCCCCCCCCTCCCCCCCCGCCCTTTTTAGGCATCACTGATTTAGATTGTACATGTCTGAGCTAGAAAGTTTCAGAATCCTACTCTTCCACTACGTTACCTAGCACACCAAGAGCTCACATGTTGGCTCTTGATATTTTCCATTCACTCAATTATTTAACCATTTATTCACAGAATGCCTGCTATGTCCTGGGCGCTCTGTTATAGGCTAGCAGTGAAATGGAAAATGTGGTAGACAAGAGGCCTCCAGTTGGGATTAGTGCTGAGAAGAAAAAAAAGGGTTCTTTCCAGGGCATGCGGGGTGGGGGGGTGGGGGGCTTGCCTCAGGCAGGGTGATGAGGGAAGGTGGCATTCACTTTGATGGCTGGAGGACGAAAAGAACTGCCAGGGGAGGAATGTTCTAGGTGGGGAGCTCTGCAAATGAAAACACCCTCAGAAGGACCAGGGCCAGATGGGTTCCAGCAGCTGTCAGAGGACAGATATCTGAGCAGAATGAACAGAATACGGTAGAGATAAGAGCTGAGGCTAGAAAGTCAGGCAAGGGATGAATTCTGCCGGGCCTTGTACATCTTGGAAAGAAATCTTATCCTAGTTATAATGAGAAGCCTTTTAGGAGCTTGTAGCAAGTGGCTAATCTCTGATCTACATTTTTAGAAGGTGACTGGCTACTGTGCAGAGAAGGGATTGGAAGGAGAAAAATATACGAGGAGACCAGCGAGGGGTGTAGTGTCAGAGTCCAGGCAAGAGATGCCGGTGGCTTTGCTGAGAATGGCCATGGAGATGAGGGGAAGTGGCCAGGTCTGTGAAGACTCAGCAAGTGCTGGTGATAACTGGTTGTCAGTGTTGAGGGGAAGGAGGGCATCAGGGATACCCTTGGGTTCTGGATAATTTATAAACTGGGTGAAGTGTGATGCCATTTACGGAGATGAAGAGAAATGAGGGATTATCAGGTTTTCAAGGAAAACGGAAAGCTCCATTTTGAACGTGTTAAATTGTAAATGCTTATGCATCCTATAGAGCAGTGGTTCTCAACCTTCCTAATGCCGTGACCCTTTAATACAGTTCCTCATGTTGTGGTGACCCCCAATTTCGTTGTTACAAATTGAACATAATTAAAGCATAGTGATTAATCACAAAAACAATATGTAATTATATATGTGTTTTCCGATGGTCTCAGGCGACCCCTGTGAAAGGGTCATTCGACCCCAAAAGGGTCGCGACCCACAGTTTGAGAACCGCTGCTCTCGAGAATCTGTGCAGAAGGAAGCGACATTGTAGTTGGCAGGCTCAGAGGCGAGGTGTGACTTTACAAGCATACTTGGTGAGCCAAGAGAGTAGGAAACCAGACACGCAGTAGAGCTTTACCCTACCCATCAGCTTTAACGTTCTAAATGTATTTTTAAAGACTGTAGAAATTAAGTGTAGGGGGGTGGGAGTGGGATGTATGCACCATCACAGTGAACCACTTTGCAAGGTCAATCAGTGTTTTCGTGTGTGAATATCCTGTTTCATGAGCAAAGCATAGTTAGCCCAGTGAACACAGGACTGAATGACAGTGGGAATTTGCTATTCTTAGACGGACATCAGCTTGTTAGTGGACATTAGCAATGGCTCTGAAGGCCCAACTTGCTGTCCATGCAGGGTTTTCAAACAATCGATCAACTTGATGGAATAAATGAGCTGCATTGACTCTTGACTGACAACTACATAATAGCTGCAATAACACATTTATAGACAGGGTGTGTGTACAACCATTTCTTAATTGAAATGTTTTCTTTCTCACTGAAGATAGCATTCATTCACGCTTGTCCTCATGCACCAAGAGACGTAAGCTAAAGAGATTGGAAAAGAATACTGTCAGCTGACACTAATTGAGAGCTTGCTAGGTGTCACATACTTTATATACATCAATTATTTAATCCCCACAACAGTATAACGCCATTACCAGTGTTACTCTCATTATACAGCTAAGGAAATGAGCGTATAGAGTGTATCAGTCAAGAAACATGGTCCATACCAGGTTCAACAGAGGAAAATTAATATGGGGCACAGTTACAAAGGTATTTGAATGGATGAGCGGGGAAACGGGAATGGGGAGGCAATGCAGAGACTAGCAATGGCAGTAAGTAACAGCCTGGAACTAGAGTGATCCAGTGACGAGGCCATGTTACCAGGGGTCAGAAGGTGACTCAGGCCTTCCTAGAGATCCAACCCCAAAACAGAGAAAAACAGGGAGCAGCACCCTGGTTTCTTCCTCCCACCTCTCAATCTCCCTCTGCTGCCTCCCATTGGCCAAGCCAATATGGAAGCCAACTGAGTAGGGTGCCTGGGAAATGTAGTTTGCAGAGCAGAGCAAGTGAGGGCAAGAAACAGATGGACCTGGGAGTAAGCAGGCAAAGGCTCCTACAGAGAGAGTGACTTGCCGTCAGATCACACAGGCCATCTGACTTTAAATTCCGAGCACATACCACTATTTATATTAGTTACTTAATTATATTGTGAAGAGAAATGGGCTTTGAAAGAGAATCCTATCTGATTCTAGTGAGCATCTCATTGTACATATGATAATATATATATATGATACATACATGATATATCATGTATATCTCATCTACATGATATATCATATATACACCATGTATAAGTAGATGATATATACACGTATATATGACATATACATGTATATAGTATGTGTCTGTGTCTGTTGCATATATTTCATTTCATCACTTTTGGGGGGATCTCACTGGTATTCTTCCACTTTCTTTGGGTTTTTAAAATATTATTTCTAATGCTTAAAAATAAAGGTTAAGTAAGCTGGTTTCTCAGAACATATGCACTGGCTAAGCCGGTAAAGGGTACCAGGCTGCCAGGGCTTGCTCAGAGAGTGCACATCGTCCCACATCGTCCCAGCAGCCGTGAGCTTCGTCAAGTCGCCTAAACTTCCTGGCCTCCAACTCGGCATTGGTTAAAAAAAAGAAAAGGCTGCCAAGACCGGTTTGGCTCAGTGGATAGAGCATTGGCCTGCGGACTGAAAGGTCCCAGGTTCGATTCCGGTCAGGGGCATGTACCTTGGTTGCGGGCACATCCCCAGTGAGGAGTGTGCGGGAGGCAGCTGGTCGATGTTTCTCTCTCATTGATGTTTCTAACTCTCATCTCTCTCCTTTCCTCTCTGTAAAAAAAACTCAATAAAATATATTAAAAAAAAAAAAAGAAAGAAAAAGAAAAGGTGCATTCTTAATTTTCCTTAAGGTCCTTCCTGCTTTGGGGTTCCATTATCCATCTTCAGGGAAAGGTCAACTGTCCTGTTTGAGGCTCCAGGAAAAACCAAACAAGCATCACCCACAACATGAGATGTGAGGAAGCCCCTGCCTCCCACAGGCCCGGGCTGCTGACCACCGCTTGCTTCTCTCCTCCGACACCTGCCTTTCACCCCCGCTCACATGTGTCCACGCGTCCTTAGCACAATGTGGCAAACGGGATGAAGAGAATGGTGAATCGATTTACTAGATTTCCAACTGTGCTCCCCAGGAGGACATTTTAGCTCAATTAGGCCACACATTTTACTCAAATTTAATGATCGCGTAACCAGGCCCAGCCTTTCTGTTCAGTAGAGTAAAACAAATAATAAAAATAAGCAACTGTTATCTCCTTGCTTTTAATTACTTTGCATCCTGCAATTCGCCAATGTTCTAGAAAAACAACAGAATCTGTTTTTTAAAAAATTCTCCCAAGTCCAGAAAATATAAAACACATTTATTATTCCACTGACTCCATAGAAAAAAAAACAACTATTTACTTTGAGAAAGTGGCAACCATATGAGCTGTTCATGAAACTGTGTGAAGGCGATTACTGAGGTGGAGAGAGGAAGGAACATGTTGACAGATGGGGGAGGTGAAGACAGCAGATTCTGGTCTAGAAGCCGGTCTCTTGGCTAAGGCGCTCTGAGCTCTCCAGCCAGACCCAGCAGGCAGAGCGTGGACTCTGGGGGGACCTCCCGAGGAGTGGGGTGGGGGGAGGACCCTCTAGGACAGCCATTGTCAACCTCTTCACTCACGACACACATAAACTAATTACTAACATTTGGTGGAGCACCAAAAAAATGTATTTTTTTTTTTTTTTTGCCAATCTGACAAAAATAAAAGTATAATTTTGGTTCATTCACACCGAATGGCTATTGCTGTGCTGGCTGCTATCATTTTTTTATTTGACAGACTAGGGGAACAGAGGTCAGTGCCCCTGACTAACAGTCAGGTGTGGCATGTTCTAAAGTGTTCACAGCACACCTCTGCTCCAGGAGGGGGCTGACCTCTCCTTCCCCATGTCCTCATGAGTCCCAGCGGCTGCGATGCCATCTCCCGGCTCCCCAGAAAGTAAGTGCAATGCCAAGCCTGAAGTCTCCTGCCACCCTCTTGTCATTCATTCATTCATTCATTCATTCGCTTACTTAGTAAATATTTACTCACTGAATATGTGCCTAGAATTGAGCTGACCATTAGAACCTTACAGTAGGTCAGGATGAGGTAAGGAGGACAAAAGTGGCCTTGGAGCAAAAAACACCAAACCTCAAACCCAACCCCATCATTGCTTCAGAAGAAAAGGACGAATATTTGATTGCCTTTCTAGACCGTTGTGGCCTCATTTCCCATCAGGAATTAAACAAATGGTTCTGTAATGTGCTCCTTTTACACGGCCCTTCATCATTTCCGACTGCAGGGGACTGACGTTTCAATGGCAATGTGAGGGCTCAGAATAAAACTACCTTTCAATGACACATTTAACTAACACCGAGTTATAAGAGAACCTCGGTGGACGTGCACCTGCCATCCACATAATTAGAGGACAGATTGTTTTTTATTATTTCTATTACATTAATATAACATTAATTTATACTCACGGACCACTACATGGGAAGCGTTCTTGAGCCCGGGTAATGTTTTGTTTCCTGGCACTGAGAGTCACAAAGGCAAATGCGTCTGTAACCTGCATCTGGTTTCCTTGCCCAACTGCCCTCCCTGGCCCGCCCCCATCTCCTCCTCTCTATTGATTTTCATTTCATTGGAACATTCTACAGCAAAACACAAGAGAAATTAAATGGCAGGACCCTGTGACAGCCGCAAGGGCTGGGCAGCCCTGGAAGTCACTAGAACGAATCCCCAGGGAGAGTCCTGCATAATCCTGTAGCTTGCAGTGCATCTTCGGAGGGAGTTTTCTCAGCAGCTGGTGGCTCTGGATGCTCTGGGGTCGAAGGCAGGCAAAGTGGTGCGGTGCAGTTTATGCCGTTGCTGACCTAGCTCATGGAAGCAGAATTCGACTTAAGCTGTTAATTCCATCAAAGCTCCTATAAACTGGAGGTGGCTCAAGCAGCCAGCTTCCACATGGGGGATCAGGTGTACTTTCACCCCCATGTACATGTACTGTGCACACAATTTCCAAGCACCTCCACAAAACCAGGTGCCCTCATTGCTGGGACTCGTGCATCTCGGTATAGACACTGAGGGCATTAGAGCCTAAGGGTATTAAATGTTAGTCCCTACGAGAGCTTTCTGTGGGATCATCACAGCATCACTTAGGATCTCAAGTCCTTGTCCTAATTTTTCTTGTTGTTTTAGGAGAAAACTGATTTTAGAGAGAAATGTAATCTGAGATGCCTTGGTTGACTAACCAGCTCCAATTGTCTCTGATATTTTTCACCAAGTCCACTGGAGATCAGTTAGCCATTCCTTATACGCAAGATGCTCCCTTCTGAAAGGTTTTTATGGGCTCAGAATGTCCATTACATTGTTTTTCTTTTATGCCTTTTTGTTAAGTTCCATTTTCTCCCCTTTACCAAAGTGCCACTTTTTTTTTTTTTACTTTTTGTGTTTTGTCTATCATTCTTTTTTAAAAAATTATTTATTTTTTATTGCCTAAAGATTTACATGTCTCCTTTTTCCCCAATTGCCACCCCCCCCCAGCCATTTCCACCCGGGGCAAGCCCCCACCGCCCCAGTGTCTGTGTCCATTGGTTATGCTAATATGCATGCATACAAATCCTTTGGTTGCTCTCTAACCACCCCGCCCTGCCATTTGTCTAGGATCTATTCTTGTTCATCAGATTATGTTGATCATTATATCCCACATATGAGTTGAGATCATGTGATATTTATCTTTCTCCGACTGGCTTATTTCACTTAGCGTAATGCCACTTTTTAATGATCACATCAGTGTTGCATTGCTTGGCTAGAGCAAACTGCTGTCATTTATGTCCCACCACTGCCTCAGGGCATTCTTTCTTTCTGGTTGGTCTTTAACCTAATGACAGACTTCTGTGTCTCCACTAATGGCATCTTGATGAGGATAATGGGCCAAAGCTCAATTAGGAAACATTATGAATCATACCGTTTAGTCTCTTGTATTGTAGTGCGCTAGAATTCCTAAAATGACAAGGGGACTTCATTTTCTTTGTCCCTGCATTCTAAATCTTTTCATTGTTCGTGCTCCAGGCCCACCCACCTTACTCTTCGAATGTTATTTCTCAGGTTCACTTAAAAAACAGCATCTTAGGTGAAGAAACCCCTTACCTATTTGCCAATCCCAGGGCACCTTTAACAGCTCCTTGTGCTCCATTATAGCTCTGCAAATGGAAAGAAAGTGGACCTGATGAGCAAGATTATGAGGCATCCTTCTTCTTTTCTCTCACCAGCTTTGTACAAATCATGCAGCAACCAACTGAATGTCAAAACTACCTCCGGGCCATGCAGAGGCCAGTCTAGTTAGACAGACTGTGGTTTACCCTGAAGCCTCTTGTCGGGGTGGCCAGCAGGGGTGAGTGTGCCAGTGGGCATAGTGGAGCCCAAACCTCCCACTGACCTTCACGCCCACACAGTCTGCCTATGGCCTGTGTTTTTTCTTGCTTAGATGCTTCCTGAAAAGGAAACGGTGAGGTTCGGAAAATTTCTGTGCTTGCAGGTGTAATGAATTTTCTGACTGAGCATTTTCTAGGGCAGTGATTCTCAGACTTTCATGTGCAAAAAAGCCATCTGGGAAGCATGTAGAAACAGCTTCCTGGCCCCATTCCTAGCGATTCTGATTCCATAGATCTGGGAGGGGACCAGGGATGTGCATGTCTGAGGGGTTCTCACATGGTACCAGAGAAGCACACGGAGAACCACTGCTCTAGAAGAGGACCCGGAGGTGAGGGTGGCACCATGTCACCAGTGCTGTTTGGTTTCCGTGTGTCCTTGATGCATCCCATTTGCCAAACTCACCCATATGCCACCACTTCCATGATTTTGGTAGCAGTGTCTCTGAAGGGCTCAGTTGGCGCTAATGGACTGCAACTGAAGCCAATGAGCGCTAGATCTAGGAATATATTTTTTGGATTCAAGAATAATAATCCATAAAATGAGCCATCCATCTACAAAATGTTGGTTCTGAACAGTCGAACTAGGCAATTTCTTTTCCTCTCACACACCTAAAGCACCAAATTTAGGAGCTTTAAAATGCCATCATGCTTTCAAAATGAACCAAAAATAAATCCTCGGCGAGTCTTCCCATCTCAGTGCCTTGTGTGCTACAGAGCTTTTCACTTCTATCTGAGGGTACTGAAATTTGGAGGATTCTTGGAAACAGCCTATTTGCAAACCATGTTTAAGGTCATGCTAAAATAGCTTCCATAAATAATCTCAGACACTGAACCAATACAATTGCAAAGCACTTGCTTTGTAGAAAATTATTTGGTGAAATCAGAATTGCTTGCTTTGTAAAAACAGATTTGGTGAAATTAGACAGGAGGTCATACATTTATCCACCTCTTATGTGAAACTCAAATATGTGGCCTTTCTTGATGAAAAACGATACTTCGTTTGATACTTATTCTCACAGCAATTTCTGAGGCACAAACCAGTGCTAACTTATATGTTCCCACACCAGAATTATTGAAAAAATTGGTGTTTTTGACTTTTTGAGAATGTGTGTGTTATATCTTCACCTGTTTTTTAAAAATATATCTTTATTGTTGAAAGTATTACAGAGGCCCCCTTTTTTCTCCATTGACCCTCTCCACCCCACCCCCACCCCCACATCCTCACCCTCCTCCCCACCAGGCCTTCACCGCACTATTGTCTCTTTCCATGGGGTATGCATATGTGCATGTAAGTTCTTTGGTTATTCAAGGGAAATGGAAACACAAAATTTCTAAGAGATGAATTTTAAATATGATTCACTCATGCAAATCCATGGGCAATAGAAGAGAAAACGGATGAAAGAGCAAATTTAAACTGTAAGTTTTCTGGTGGCGGTCGTCATTCACCCATACACAGAATGCCCCTTTCTGGAAGTGCATCCGATCGTGACGTTTACAATTAGTTTTTCTGTTTCTCTACGTAACAACCCACAGGCTCGTTTGGGAGAATCAATGTACATTTAATGGTTTCCTGTAAATTATCTTCAACGTCCATGAAATGTTTTTCTAATAATTTACAATAAACTTGTTTAGTTTAGAAGAAATTTACTAATAAAGATATTGAGTTTTCCGATTTCATATGGGGAATTGGTGACAGGTTCCCTGCTTTGATTTTTATAAAATAAAGTTACCAACCCTACGCCAAAGAAAAAGATTTTAAACACATGCCCTAAGAGTCTCTACTGTCTGAGTTTCTTGTTATTTTTACTCACAATTGAATTCCACTGAAAAATGCCCCGAAGAGTCCGATCATGCCCAGGAATTCCACTCGGCTCAGGGTTCGGATGATGTACTCTTCCCAGACGTTAGAGATACCATAGAGTGTGGCTCCTGCTAAGACCAGAAGGTCCCCTACCAGCTTATTTTCCCCTAGGAACAATAACAATGACAACAACAACAACAAAAAAACAACAGAGAGAACTTCATTAAAAATTCTTAACAAGAATTTAGCACCAGCAAAATTCTATTCTGGCATTTTTATAGAAGTTCTGTAACTTACCACCTGAGATTTAGTAAAGTTTGTTTATGGGCGGTTAATATGCTTCCCTTATTCACTCAAGAAATGTATTAAGCATTTCCTATGTGCCACTGTTCTAGGTGTGGGTGCTACACAATTTACCAGGCGACCGAAAAACACACAGGAGTACTTGGAGATACAGGAAAAACCCATTTATTTTCAGATGTTTCACATGTACTAGTACAGTGACTCAGGGGGTCAGTTCTCCAAATCCTGAGCAAGCCAATATGGAGGAAGCTTTCTCTTCATACCCTTTGGTTTCTTTGTCCCCCAAATAAGGATCAGACTTCCGGTCCTTTCACCGGCTTTACAAAAAGCCCTGTGTGTTGGGATGGGGGCCGTGAGGCCACACCTAAAGGCATGGCCTGCGCCAGCGCTGGTAACCCTCTCTAAGGGTTGTGTATTGTTCATGGTTTATGGCCTCTGTAAAATGGGAGTATTTAGGTAAACAGGTCTTGCAAGACCAGATAATTAAGGAAGGGGCAGTGACTAGACTATAGGCTAACAGGAATGTGCATTAGGGATACAGAGTCAGGCTACTAGCACCCCTTCCCCCCAAATGTCTTATTTTCCTCATCATGGGGAACCAAGCATGAGTAAGACACAGACAATGGTAAGACTAGGTTCCTTTTCTTCTACCTAACAATGAACATGCCATGTCTTGCCTTGGCCTCAACCACAGAGGCAGGTAACCTAGTGAACACACAGAGACTCACCTGCTCCCTGATGTCTTCCCACAAGCACGTCCGCTCCCACCATGCAGCCCATCCCCAAGATGCAGACCACGATGCCGATGAAATGTACAGCCTTGTACCGGATCAGCAGGAAGAACCAGGAGAGTAAAATCACGACCGGGATCACAAAACAGTCCAGGAGCTATTGGCAAGGAAGGAAAGAACAGCAGGAGGTCAGGGGAAGCTTTGCATGGAATAAAGAAACATAACTTAGCCCTATAGACAGGCTATGCCCCTGAATCTGAGGTTCTGTGTAGAGCCAGAACTAATGCAATTAAAACAGACTCAGAAACAAACTCAAATGAGTTTTACTTAAACATCCCCAAGAGGAAAAGAGGAAAAGGCAAATTAATAAGACAGGCTGGTGGGGAAGATTCTCCGGATCCCTCAGTGCCTGGACCCCAGGGGAACACCTCATATGCTGAGCCATTTCAGATGGTCCTTCCACTTTAGGAATAGATCTGGGAATGGGAGGTAAGGGGGCAGAGGTCTTACAATGTTTTATAAATTACTAGGATTCACACAAAAGTTGAACTTAATTTCTCCCACACAACTGTCTTCCCACAGCCAGTAGAAGTTACTTTCATCTGTCCTTGAAATTTCACTCTTAAAAGAAAATAATTGCTCTCAGTATAAATACAAATATTAATCTCAGAAGTTTACAAATAACTTTAAAATGCTGTTATAAAAAAGAGTAGTAAAAGCTAGAAGTCTGAACAGAGTTTAGAAAAAAAATAACTGATTTCACTTCTTATATATTTTGCACAAATAGTGAGATTCCGACAGCCCCAAGAGTTGGTGAAGAATTCACTCTGATCATGCAGTGAAGTAACATAGTGAAATGAAAAAACTCCTATGCCAGAGGCCAGAAATCTGAATTTGAGTGCTAGGTCCTTGCTTATAGCAATATGACTTCGGGCAAATCACAAATCCAGGAAACATCAATTTCCTGATAGTAGAAGAAGATGACTCCTACTGACTTTCCCCAAAGATCATTGTGAAGCTCAGAAACAATACATGTAAAAGCATTTTGTAAATTACTTGGGCCTTGATGGCAATCTATAATCTTGTTTACCAACACATGATCTGGGCTCCAGTATTGTTGTTTCTCTCACACTGTGGTAAGTTGCAGTGACCTTTGACACTCCAGGCAAAGTAGGGTCTCCACTAGGCAAACTTATGTACCACTGGACTTCAAGTCCATATACCAAATGAGAAGCTGGGGATCCTGTCCCATTGCCCAGCACAGCCCCTCTGCTAGAATCCTTGATAAGTGGCCCTACCTCCCTGCAACCAGATTCAGAACAGTGACCCCTAACACTCCTTCACTTTATATCCTATTGACTACTGACTTCTGCCAATTCCATCTTTAAACATCTCTCAAATCTACTCATGCCACCCTCTCTCACTTCCACCACCTAGACTGGACTGAGATAGTGTCATTGCAATAATAATAAATATTGAATTATTGGCATAATGTCTGCTTTCCCCATATGCCCAGAGGTCCAGGGGAGCAGGATAATATTCCTAGTACTCAGAACCCTGTTTGGCTAATACATTTATCCAATAATAGTTATTGAACAAATACATATATGAATTTATAATGACCAGAAACATCAAAATAGAGTCTCCAAGATTCATTAAAGGCTGAAAAATATATGTATACAGTAGTCTAACCCCCCCCCCCCCTTTTCCATGGTTTCACTTTCCCCGGTTTTAGTTACCCACGGTCAACCACAGTCTGAAAATATTACATGGTAAATTCCAGAAATAAACAATTCTTAAGTTTCAAGTTGCACATCGTTCTGAGTAGCATGATGCAATCTCATGCTATCCCACTCCATCCTGGCCAGGGTATGAATCATCCCTTTGTCCAGTATATCCACGCTATATATGATACTTACCCATTAGTCAAATAGTAGCCATCTCAGTTATCAGATCGACTGTCACGGTATTACAGTGCTTGTGTTCAAATAATTCTTATTTTACTTATCCTATATAATAAAAGGCTAATATGCAAATCAACTGAACGGCAGAACGACCGGTCACTATGACACGCACTGACCACCAGGAGACAGACGCTCAACCAGGGGGCAGACGCCTCCATGGCAGTGCTAAGGATGTCAGTCAGACATCCTCCAAGGGCTCCCAGACTGCAAGAGGGTGCAGGCTGAGCTGAGGGACCTGCCAAGTGCACAAATTTCATGCACCGAGCCTCTAGTATTGTTATAATTGTTTTAATTTATTACTATTGTTAATCTCTTACTGTGCCTAGTTTATAAATTAAACTTTATCATAGGTATGTATGTATAGTAAAAAACATAGCATACAAAGGGTTTTGTACTGTCATCAGTTTCAGGTATCCACTGGGGGTCTTGGAACATGTCCCCCATGAATAGGGGGGGAGGGGGGGAGAACTGTATTTGCAGAGCATCCCTGACTGTCAGAGTGGCTTTTGGCTCTGTAAGCAGCACTCAGAATCCCCTCCACCCTGAAGCTTTTTGTGACCTGGGCAGATCCTTCATGCTTCTCTGTGCACTGGTCTCCTTTGCAAAGTGAAAGAAGCAATCAGAATGTAAGCTGTCCCTGGGGCTGCTGTGAGATAAGGTGATGAGGGCCCTGTGAATAGTGATTTAACAGTGTGATGGCTGGGGGCTGAGCCTGAAGGGGACAGCACTCCCAGAGGGGCAATGTATAGAGGGGGTGGCTGGTTGGATTGTACTACACAGGATTGCTCACTGCATAGTTAATTAGCAAATGAATGACCCTACTTGATGTGGTAAAATGCTCTAAGGCAGGTGTTACAACTGGCCTCAAATGCCATTAAAGTACATTAGGAAATTTCAGTTTGCCAGTGAAAACTGTTCACTGGGCATGAAACAGTTGGTGTTTTGCTTTAAAAATTAGAAATGATTGCATCAACGGTTGAAATATTTATAGCTACATGCTCCACGACTGGGATTTCATTATCTGGCTGCACGCCCTCGATCCGTGGAGCCAAAGGCCTCCATTCCTGGATTACTGAAGGCGAACGAGGCCATCATCCAATCTTCAGGGAGGACTGAAGTGAGCCCTTCGGGATCTCGGTGTCATTAGAAATCCCAAAGCATATGATGAGTCCTGGGATCTATTCCCTTAGTGGGTTGAGCTAAAAAAAAAACCCCTTATTTGTAAATGGCAGGGCTTACTTGTTGGGAGGACTTTCAGGAAGAAAGAAGGGAAAAGGAGAATACAAGTCCGAGCCAGGGTTTCTGAGACACTGCAGCTAGGGAAGCGCAGGGGTGACCGAGTGAATTAATGAATGCACAGCCACTGGGTATCACTGATGGTCAGAAGGGACATTTGAGGTAATCCAGGCTGCTACTGGCGTTTGAGGTGAAATAATTCTTCATCTTGCAGGTCTGCCCCATATTCTCTGCAGAGTACAGTAAGCCCTGACCACTAAAAAAAAAAAAAAAAAAAAAGAAAAAAAAGATGCTTCTACACATTAACAAGTGCCCCTTGGGGGCGGTATCTCCCCAGTTTTGGGGAGATACTGCCCAGTTTGTGACCCCTTTATTTAAAAGTTGGGAACTCAGAAGTCTCAAGAGAAGTGATGTATGTGCTCAAGGTCACTCAAATTGCTGACACTAGTGGCAGTGCAGTCATGGCTCTTTTCTGAACAATATTTAATGAAGGTCAATTACAGGATTACTACAGGTGGAGGTCTCACTACGGTACCTGTAACTACAGAAAAGAAACCATTTGGTAGCTGATGTTATTAAACAGGCTATTATTTTCCAGTAATTTTTGGTTCCAGCCTTTTCCCTATCGTCATATAGCATAAAACATACTGACAAAATGATTTACCAATGGTTTTCTGGTAGCTTAACTCCTTCGCTAAGTAGTAGTTAGAGTACTAAAAAAGAGAAGCATTATAATAGATGCCTGTTAAAAAAGAAAAAGAACCAAGAAAGCTTCCGATTTTGTCATTAATCTGTATACTGTATTTATCTTTCTTTGCATACATTTCTATAACCAAAAGAAAAAGTGTAAAATATCAGTACCAAAAAAACCAAACAGATGACTATTGTTTCAATCATCTTATGCTCTGACAATTCTCAAAGAACTTTAAGAATATTTTGGAAAGAAAAGTGTTCATTACCTCTTAAATTTACATAGCATCTTTCCCCATTGAGTATCAAATTAGCTATTTTGCCTTAGGGGAGGAGCAAGAAGGATCAGAGAAAGCAGCAGAGTCTCAGCATTTGGAAGGGAATGTAAGTCTTTCCTGGCCTGGGTGATGCTGTGGGGAGAACAAGAGTCCCTCTATGCTCCTCCCAGACCATACTTGGTTTGGGTGACACATGCGTTTGTTTCTTGGCTAAGAATCTCAGTATCATAATATTAGGCATAAAAACCTCTGAATGGAGAAATCAGAATCTATGAGAATAAAATATTAACAATGGTTATCTTTGAACTGAATCTTCTCCGCCCCACTGCACCAATTCTCTGTGCTATCCAAATTTCCTCTCTTGCACATATGCTACTTTCAAAATATATAGAGTATAAAAAATACATGAGGGGATAAAAGAGCTATGGGAGTCAGATCAGTCTTTTTCCAGCAGAGTGGATGGTTTGTAAAAAAATTAAAACAAAACAAAAAGCCGCCACCCAACTGTTCCCATTACGGTAGAGCATAATAGGGAGGTGACCTCATCCCTCTTTCTAATTCTCTGTGCCCAACAGAGACTCCTGCCAGCCTTGGCTCCTCATTAACGCTCCCCTCAGGCTATTCACAGGGAGAACGCTCCCCTCACAGGGCCCAGCTGTCAGAGGCTAAACCTGAGGCAACTGGTAGGTGATTCCAGGAAAAAGAACATTTCCCTAGTCCCCCTTCTTCTGCTTCTAATTGGCAATTCTCCCGTGTTTCTGAAAGTGATCTATATTATAAATTCATCTCCAGTGAGTAAGACTGAATTGTTAACAGGGAAGGATCTTAAAAAAAGACAAACCTCAGTTACACAGACACAATAAAAGTCCTCTTTTGGTTGACAGTCCAGCTGAAGAGAGTGGATATAATTTGGGAAATGCACATTCACATCAAGCACCATGTTAATTCAGAGGCCTGGAGACCATCCCAGAGGCATTTTTGAAAATCCA